TGAGTGGGAAACATCTGAAGCTTGCATTAATTCGTTTTCACGTGTTTGTCACCACGAACTCTTGGATTCGTTCCAAGACAACCCTGCCCCAGTGCAGGTGGATGCAAGTTTAATTCGTTTTTCACGTGTTTGGACAACGAACTCTTGGGTTACCAGTGATGTGGACCCAGGACAACCTGCCTGATGGTGGGATCTTGCATGAGTTTTAAGTTTGATGTCAGAGATCGACTGGTGTGTTGTTTGTTTCGTTTGGTGGCGAGTACGCACCAAGGGAATGTGGCCAGGGCATCCCCTTAGTGTTGAAGTGCCGAGCTGGGCTTGGACTTCAGATCTTTGACATGAACCCTCAGCAAAATGCGGGGGGTGGAAGATTGTGGCTGATCAGTGATGTTTTTGTCATGTTTTGGATCAGCTTGTATAGGTTTGTTTTGCTTCGGAGTGATTGGGAATCCGTGTGATCCCATCCTCGATGGTTTATGCCTCGTTGATTTCCAAGGAAATCATACGAGTGTGTTTTTGCCCAATACGCTATTTAAAGTGAGTGTGCAGTGTGTAGGAACTTCGTTCTGAAGCTGAGTTTAAGCTCACAAGAGAGAATTCGTTTAGTTTGTGCACTTCGTGACTTTTGGCTCAAGTGGCTCTGACTGTGAAAAAGAGAGAGTTGTCCGCACTTGTGTGAGAGGTCAGGGTTCGTGCTTTCAAGGGAAAAGGTACCAGAGGGACCTTCGGTTTTTCACGGTCGCAGCCCATCTACCGGTTTTTCCTGTTTGCGTTGAAGCCAAAACTTTCAACTTAGTTCATTTTTTTTCTGCAGACGGAGTTTCTGAAGCTGCATATTTTCAGAAATTTGGATTTTTGTTTTTGAAAACCATGAAAAATGTGTTTTTTTTTCTTTCGTTAAAAACTTTTTTGTTTGCTTCCATTTTATCTGCAAGATAGCATGTAGGAATTCCAAAATGATTTGTTTTTAAACCAACCATTCCACACAGAATGCATTCAGATTTTTGGACGCCGCGATTTCTTACAATGTTTTTTGAAAATTTTCAAAAATTAAAATTTTGATCCAAACCAAGCCGGTTGGCCTGAGTTGCAAAAATTTAGTAAGGCTCATTGGTTTTTGGATTATTTCGTTGACAATGTTTCTCAAACCAAGAAAAAGTTGAAAAAAAAAACATCAATTGATGTTTTCAGAATTGTCTTAAGCGATTTTGTTTCTGAACCAAAACTTGCAAAATCGTTAAATGCTTCATAACCAGTGTTTCCTGTTTTCAAATGTTTTTTCATTTTTGAAATTTTGAAAACAATCTGCTTTGACCAAGGCAACTTTGAAACCAGTGTTTTTCTGGTTTCAAATGTTTTCATGTTTGAAATTGCAAAAATAATTTGCTTAACAGGACAATTTGCTCAAGTTTGGTGTTGCCTTGCATGTGTTTTAGCCAGACAGCTAAAAAAACACAGCCAAGTTTTTTAAGGTTATGTTTCTTTGCTGGTGGCTTTGTTCAGCCTTTGCAGGTGCAAACAGGAAAAAATGCACGTCAAGTCAAGGGTAAATTCCGTTTTAGCCACTGCAGAGAGCTGAACAACAATGAAATTAACTCCAAAAACCTTGAAAAGTGCTGAAACTTGCATTGGAAAATTTGAAAAAATTGCCACGGAGAGTGCTTCGCACCACGGTGGTGCTCTTATACCTGATGGAGCACCAGGAATCGGTCCAGGATGCACCGATCCTGCTGCTCTGCCGTCCAATCTTGCGGACGGTGGTAGGCCGTTTGACTCTTTGCCCGCAAAGCTTCACGTGGGTTGTCCTTTGCAATTGGAGTGGACCGAGCTGGTACGTTCCATGTAGAAGGCATTGGCTGCCTTAAAATGGCAATGCGCCAACACTCCCTCTCCAAACGTAGTTGGGCTTCGGAATGGAGCTCTCTTCTCCGTTCCGCCTGCCTCTTTAACATCATTGCCCCCAAGTCCATGCCCTGTTCAGGAACAACTATTAGCGATGGTGGAAGTGTCTCCGGCTCGGAACACCCAGACGGCGGCGTTCTTGCTTCACCACTTTGTCCATATCTAAAGCCTCTCCTCCGTTGCTTTGTCCTGGCCCTCCATTGCTAAAGGTTCCCCAAACGCCCTCTGAAGCTCTTCCCTTGTAGCCTCCAGGGCCTTCTGCCTTAACCTTCTTAACCTCCCCAATTTCTGGAGTTTCCACAAACAACAACGGGCTTAAAGGGGGGCTTAAAGGGGGCTTTAAGAGGAGCTTAAGGGGGCTTAAAGGGGGGCTTAAAGATAAGAGAGAAGGATTTATTTAAATTCCACCCCTCTTAAAGCTTTTTTTGATTTTTGGATTTTGTTCTTCGAAACTAGAGAAGTAAGACTCTAACTTCCATTTAAAAAAAGAGAGAAAGGAGTTTATTCTAAATTTCACCCCCCTTGACTCTTGTTATTTTTGTATTTTTTGGAATTTTATCATTTGAAACCAGAGAAGTAAGACTCTAAACATACATTTTCCTTTACAAAGCGAAAGAAGGGAATGTGTTCTAAATTCCACTTCCTTGAATCTTGTTATACAATTTGTGTTTTTTCGGATTTCATTCTTTGAAACCAGAGAAGTAAGACTCTAAACATTTATTTCCCTTACAAAAAGAAAGAAGGGAATGTATTCTAAATTCTACTCCCCTTAAATCTTGTTTCTTTTTTGGGTTTCTTCAAACAGAGAAGTAAGACTCTTTTTCAAGGGGAGCTTAAGGGCATTTTCCCCGTTTGCTTCTTCTTTTTTTGTGTTCATTACTCGAGTTTTAAGAAGTTAGCTGTTGGTTTTGTTGTCAGCTTTGTTTGAAACCAGAACTCTTGAGGTGCATGTATGATGCCCGGCCTCGCCCAGCTTCCCTTGCATGCTCGAGCCCATCGCTTGGGCCTAGCGATCGTAGAAACATGAAAAGATCGTTGAAACATACAAAAGCAGGGAAGCTTTCCGCAGTTAACTACTTCAAGCATCTTAGCCACTCCTGGTCGAGCCATGCCTCACCAGGCGACACTATTACGGGCTCACCTGAGCTGAGCCCCGCATCTGCCTCTTTTGTCGTTTTTCTTTTGTGTAGGCCTGCAGCTCCGCTAAGCTGTAAGCCGTGATGACGAGCGTCGCCAAGCTCAGAGGCCGCGCCCTTTGTCGTACTGCAGTACTATCTCTTTTTGCAACGCATTGCTCTTCATGCCGCCCAGGGCATATCCTTCAAGTGCCGTCGCTCGGCCCTGACAGTGCGCCACTGTTTGTTCGAGCCTCGCAGGCAGACGCACAGCAACTTGTTGACTGGCCCTGCTGCAGGTACTACCTTTGCATTGATGCGCTCATCAACCTCCGCGAGGACTTTCTGCACAGCCTTTTCTGTGCTTCCTTTTGTGTCAAGCCTTGCACTGGCATGACCACGCCTTGCGCAGCAGGCATGACATGTGTGCTTTTGGCCCTGCGGGCTCAAATCTTCTAGCTAGCATTCTCGCCTTCTTTGCGTAACTTTGAGCCCTGCCCTGCCTTGCACTGCACGGCTCCTCAACCATGTCTGCTGGACTGCCGACTGCCCTGCACACGCTGTTCAGCTCCGATGAAGGTGCGCTGATTTCAGCACTCGCCCGGCTCAGCCCTGACGACCTGAATCGACTGTCTGCATGCTGCCAGGGTGCCCGTGCGCTGCAGGCAGCACAGCAAAGCCAAGCACAGTCGTCAGGCCAAGTTGAAGTTGCAGGCTTTGCCGGGCAACGCACCTACGTGATGCCGAGCACTTTCCCCGCGCCGCCCAGCCAGAGTGATCCGCCCAGCCAAGCCCCGCATGTCCCTGCCACAGGCCAAGCCATGCAGAGTCAGGCGGCTCCGCCGAGCCAGCCAGACCAGATTGCCTCGGATCAGCAAAGCCACCCCGGAAACCACGATGCCTGGCAACGCCTCGACCAGGAGGTTGAGCAACGCAGAGCCCGCGCTGAGACCCGCACTGCCCCGCCACGCGAGTCCAACCGCTGGGTCGACCAGGACTTCTGGCGCGGAGAGGACTTCGACGACGCCCAGTACGAGAACCGCTCTGCACAGCACCATGGCCCGCCCCGCCGCCGCCACTACGATGAGTTCTACCCCGCCCCGCCCCGCGCCCAGGAGTGGACACGCGATTTCCGCCCAGAGCACAGCCATGCACCGACCCAGCAACGCCCAGCACGTGCCTACACACCGCCCAGCCGTGCCTGGCGCCCGTCGGACCTCGTGCACACTGAGGTGCGCTGGTATGAGGGATACAGGAACCATAAGGGCCAAGTTTGCTGTGCAATCGCGTGCCTCAACAGGTACTGCAGATATGGGAATCCGCCATGCAATTACCCAATTCGAGATCCGCCCAGCACGGACACGCACGCCCGGCACATGTGCAGCAAATGCCACGCAGAGGATTGAGCCCTGCACTGCACCGAAGCCCTCTTCCGCATCGCACATGAAAGGAAAAATGAGCTTAGCTTCACGTTGCATAGCCAAGCCATGATGGTTGGTTGCTCTTGGCCTTCTTTCTTTCAGAATTGCACCGCACACAGCCTCCCGCTAGGAGCCCGCCACGCCTTGGCACTGCCCTCGCTGGGCCGGTCAGCTTACCTTAGTGCTTCAGCATCGCATGCTTTGTTTCCCCCTAAACAGTTGTGCATGCCTTTCAGCATTGCTCTGCACTGCAGGAATGCTTTGGGGGACCAGTCACGCACTTACTTTCTTTCAGCCCCGCACTCAGTCTGGCCCTCAGCTACTTGTGCTTTTGTTGTGCAGCTCTTTCGTGGTCATGCAGCTCTGCACCGCTTTTTCGCAGGTTTCAAACCAGGGCTTAAGTTTCTGCACTGCACTGATGTCAAACCATGGTCCAAAGCTTTCTCTCAGCTCGGCACTGCTCTGCACTGCTCCATGTCCCTTCATGTGCTTGTGTAGGGCTCAAGTTTTTCAGTCAAGGATGTTGCCATTTTTGTTTTGGCTTATTTTCTCCACGAGTCTCATGCCCCCCAAGGACTCGCCCATTTCTGACACAGAAATCGCACTGGCTTCTCTTGCTTCGCTGGTGCAAAACCAGAATGCAGCCGAGCAGGTGGTGGACCTTAGTTCTGACCAACCTGCACCTGTTTTCCTCATCCCTGAGGATGTGCCTAGCCCTGCCGAGACCGCAGCACCAGCGCCACCCACGGTGATCGATGTGGACCACGCCTTGCCCATTTGCCCTGCAAATGCACTGCCCGAGGTGCCCGCCTGCTCAGAGGGTGCAGTAGATACTGCCGCGCCCCTCTCTCTTGCACCTAGCGTACCAACCCAGCAACCTGCTGTTCAAGAGGGCGCAGTGGAACCTGCCACGCCCCTGCTTTCCACACAACAAGATGCCCCAGGCATTGCGCCGGCCGATGTGGCCTTGAGCTCAGAGGGTGCAGTGGATGCTGCCGCGCCCCTCTTCCCGCTTCTCAGCTCGCCGCCCCAACAACTTGCCGCCCCAGAGGGTGCAGTGGAACCTGCCGCGCCCCTCCTGCCTTCCGCACAACAAGATGCCCCAGGCATTGCGCCGGCCGATTTGGCCTTGAGCTCAGAGGGTGCAGTGGATGCTGCCGCGCCCCTCTTCCCGCTTCTCAGCTCGCCAGCCCAACAACTTGCCGCCGCAGAGGGTGCAGTGGAATCTGCCGCGCCCCTCCTGCAACCGCAACTCCCGCAAGCAAACGCACTTGCTACTGCCAAGCCTTCGCCGGAGCCCGCTCCTTGTGCCCAGGTGTCCGTGCCCCCGCAGCAGCATGAGCAGACTGCCTTGACCGGCCCCACTTTGAAGCAACCAGCCACGCCCCCGCTGCTCTTACCCATGTCAGCCCGTGCGCATTTCTTCAGCAAAGCCCTTCCACCACATACACCACGCGATGCCCTGGTGGACACCATCAGCGATTTCTCCGACGATGAGAACCGCTACTCCCCAACAAGCGCATCCTGCAAGACCGCGCCAAACATCAGTTTACGCGGCCCTTCACCGAAGTGGCAACCACCACCAACACGCACCGCCTTGCAGCCCCCGCCTCCACCGGCGGAACGTCCAACCTCTAAGAGACGAGTGTGCACTGCTCCTTCGGTCGCCGCCCTTATGCACCCGCCTCCCAGACACGCAAAGCCTTCGCCCTTCCCAAGCATCTTTTACCCAGCGCCCCCGCCACACACGGGGGCGCCGCCCCCGGTGCTGCCCAAGCATTCGCCGAAGCCGCAAGCAATGCACGGTTTGCCCGCTCCTGCACCTCGTCCAACTCCGCGCAGTCTGTCGCGCACCCCACCCCCGCAGGTCCCAAGGCTAAATGCCTCCGGAGCCTGGCTGGAAAAACTACGGCAGCATTCAGCACCGCCAACGCCAAGCCCTCAAGCATATCGCTCTATGCCACACCCGCGCGCGGTGCCCTGCGCCACATCCAGACGCAAAATCAAGGGGAGAACGCTGGCATGCCAGACCGCTTGGTTCGCCCTTCTTCAAGCGTTAGGGCCGGCGTCCAAACTCTTTGCCACGTTCCAGCACCACCAGCACGCTCAGCACCACTGGTCAGTGGCCATAGCTCCTTTCACGCCAGGCACCCTTGAGCGCTATTTCAAAGTGGCATGGAACCTTGTCCACATGCTACAGGCAAAAGGGCAACCCGCAACAGAAATATCCCTAGACACGCTGGCTGACTTCTTCAGAGCTGCGCACAGCTCACACAAAGAAGATTTGGACCTTCACCGCTGCTCCGCAACCATGGCGGTTAAATCCGCGCGCTGGCTCGCAAAGCATTCTCAATGGGAAGCACTGCAGCTAGCCATGCAAGCACCTCTAGTCTCAGCATATGCCGCAAGAAACTTCGCATCAGACCGCAAAGAGGCCCTGCCGGTCCCTCTCATGCTAGTGATGCAATGGGAAGCCCGAGTCTGCCACCCCAACACACCGCGCACCACGCGCCTGTTGTTAGGTGCAGCCCTGCTCTGCATCCACGCTAGCCTACGCTTCGGTGACTCTCAGCGTATTGACCTTCACTCGCTCAGCCTGTCAGCTCAAGCCCTGCACGGCACCTGCTTCGCAACCAAAACATCCAAGCACGGCCAGCCATTCGCACTGGCCTGGCACGGGCTGCACGGCCGCGACAAGGCCTCCTCGTGGATACTACATTGGTTGGCAGAGCTCGCGCAGCTGGCAGATGATTTTTTCTCCCCGACAGATCCAATTGACTTCATGTGGCCTAGCACTAGCCCAGAACTTCACAGCATTCCCTCACTGGCACCAGCCAGTTACTGCACCGCACTGCTCTTCATACGCTGGGCAGCAACCCTTCCATGGCTGCCACATGGCCAGGGCCTCCTCCCTCAAGAAGCAGAGTCTCTCACCGTGCACAGCCTCAAAACTACACTGCTTGCCTCGGCCGCGCAACGCCGCCTCCCAAAAGAGGACAGGCTCTGCCAAGGACATCATCGCGACAGCGCTGCCCTTTATTCGCGAAATGACACCTTCGCAAGCCTCGACATCCAACGGGATATCGCGCACGCACTGCAACAAGGCTGGCGCCCAGAACGCAGCCTTGCGCGAGGAGGACAAGCCCCTGTGCCGGAACCACCGTTCCTTGCGCCGTCAACGCCCATCCCCCAGGCCTTGTCGGCGCACGACCTGCAAGCAGGACCATGGAAAGCATTCACCACCAGGCACGAAGCCCTGCACATGAACGCAGCAAAGCAGCCGCCACGCACAAGCACAGACCAGGATGCCCTAGAGGTCGAACAAGCCGCGCTGGAAAGAGCGTCCTCGTCAGAAACTGATTGGTGCTCCAGCGCCCGCGATTCGCCGCCGCCAAGCCTCTCAGATTCTGAAGGCTCCAACCACGCAGACCCCCCAAGCACCGAAGTCAAGTTCGTGTGCTCTGGGCCATGGGGGGTCTGGCACACTCCCACAGCTCTCTCCCTGGACGCTCTCCGCAAATCCGGAAGCACAGACTTGACCCAGCTCCGCACCTGCTGCGGCGTTCCACTAGGCATCGCCGCCCAGGTCACTTCCACTAAGCCTAGCTCAGCACTGTGCCGTCGCAAGGCATGCGCCAATGCGCGCACCGACAGCTAATCGATGGCCAAGAGAAAGAAGCACCGCCCTTACCCTAACCTCGCCCACCCCACACCATCCCCCCGCCTAAGACCCCCCCCCCCCTTCTCTTGCCGAGGCCTACTTCCTGACCTACCTGACCACGCTCGCAAAAACACCCAGAAGTGCCCATTGCCCGTTGTCGCCCTGCATCAACAGGTTCCTGCATGGCACCGCAGCATGTCAATGTGCTACCTCAGCCCCTAAGTGCTCAAGCCCTCCTGCGAAACCCCCAGTTTTGCTACCTCGCTCATGGAGGCAGACTTAGCAGCGAACCCCCACGATGCACCGACGGCTCCGACTGCGCCACAGCCGGACGTGCAAGCTCTCAAAGCAATTCTGAACTCATGCAACGTGCCGGACCCGCTCTGCCAAGCACTCCTGAGCACAGGAGTGGAAAGCATCACAGACTTTGCTTTCGCCTACAACACCCAAGCCGACCTTGACTCTTTTTGCCGCGTGGACAGCCTCTGGGCCGAGCTCGATATCACAGAGCCACAGCACAGCCCTGCAATGGCTCGACTTCGGATGGCTTTGCACCGCTGCAAGAGCATCGCCATGCAAGAAGCGCCAGCTCCTTCCGCCCTCGCCCAAGCACCAACTGCACAGTCCCCGCAAAATGTATGGGCGGAGCACGCCCCGCCGCGCCTCAGCACAGAAGTTGTGAACCAACTTGTGCAAACCTTCAAGCTGAACTACCCGGGCGAGCACCTGGACCGCAATACCATGCCAAGCATTCGCCTTCTCAGCTTGGTACACAAGTGGTTTCAGCCAGGGGGCACCATCACATGGGTCCCATGGCAGCTCCGCCTCAGCACCGCGCAGTATGAAGACATCATGCACAGCAAGAGCAGCAAAATGCTCCGCGCTGAAGCACGGCACAGCTCATCAGTGCCGCGCTGTTCGATGAAACGCCTGAAGCGCCCGTGGAAAACTTGCGCCTCAGCTCCGCCTGGCTTACCAGAGTCCAAGCCGTGCACCGCAACGCCATTGCAATCTGCAACGGGGCCCATCTCAGCCGGTTGAAAGCCTTTGACACGCGCATGCACGACCTAGCAACGCAACGCCTGCCAGACGACCTAGGACTGCGCACAGTCACCACCAGCGAACTGCTCCAGGCAGACAAGAAGCTCTGGGGTGAGCTCGCCGCACTGCACACCGCAGGCTGGTCGCTAGACGACGCTCTGCACGAACTCACCAATATTCGGTCAGACCTGCACTGCCTTTTGCAACCACGTGCCAAGCCCCCCCCTGCCCTGAAGAAACCTGACCTTAAAGGCAACAAAGGCAACAAAGGCGAGGGCAAAGGAGGAAAAGGAGGAGGCAAAGTCAGGAAAGAGCAGCTCAAGGCAGACGGCGCCCTGCCAAAGCTGGACCTAGTCACGGCCTACCAAGGCAAGACCCTCTGCGTCAGATGGAACAAAGGCATGTGCACAAACAAGCAGTGCAAGTATACCCACGGCATATGCGCCTTCAAAATGCCGACTGGCCAGCCTTGTGGAAAGAACCACCCTGCGTGCAAGCACAAACCAGAGCAGCCAAGCACCTGAAACGCGCAGGGGAGTGCACCAGAGGCCCAGCCTCCCTTGCCCCAGCTGGCCTCAACTCCTCCCTCACCGCTCAGCCCTCCGTCGCCATGCAGCTCCGCCTCTGTCTCTAGCCTGTCCTTGCCAGGCATCCCCTGTGAGGGTTTGCCTAACCGCATGTCAGAAGAGCCTCCCAATACAGCGGAACCCGCCTTGGCCCCGCCTGCCGCAGTCACAGCTCCCGAAACCACTAGTGCTACACACCCAGGGGCCAGCTGCCAAAGCCCCGTTCGCCCTCGGTTTTTCCTTGACCTTTTTGCAGGAAAGCACGCGCCCTGCACGGCAGCGGTTCAGAAGCTGGGGCTTGCTCATTTCATACCCTTTGATATGGTAAGAGACCCAGCTATGAACATCCTCAACCCAGTAGCATATAGGCTTTTGTTGCGCTTAGCTTGGACAGGCATAATCGCATTCCTTCTGTCTGCACCGCCCTCTGGAGAATTCAGCAGGCTGAAGCTGCACAAGCCCGGCCCCAAACCCCTGCGCACCCCTGAGCACATGGACGGTGTGCCAGGCCTCGCACCAGACGAGCAACGCAAAGTATACGAGTCTACCGAGATACACCGCCGCAGCCGGGCCTTGCTTAGAGCCGTGCACAACATGGGCGGCGACATCCTGTTTGAGCAACCGCCAAGCTCCATGGCCTGGCTGCAACCGGATAATATACACTTATGCCAAGAAATTGCCGCAACCTGCGCCTACGTATCAGCATGCATGCACGGCCTTGACGTGTGCAAAAGCTGGGCTTTCTGTGGCAGCTCGCCACGCACTGCAAAGCTTGCAGCTACTTGCAATCACAATGCAGGATCGCATGCCAACTTATCCAACAAGTGGAACGCGGATGGAAAATTCTTAAGCTTCGGCTCTTCAGAGTACCCGCCGAGCCTGGCAGCACAAATCGCACAGGTTGCCCGTCCTTTCTTGGACATGTCCTGCAAACCTGCGCATTCATTTTCGGACATTGCGGACCTGCTCCCAGAGGAATTCGTGCCCCGAAGGCTACCTCTTTGCGACGGGGCAGGCTTGCGCAGCACGGCAGACCACAGTGGTCCAGCAAAACCGTGCAATACACCCGCAATGCACAGTATCGACAAGTTAGCAGACGCCATGCTCACATATATGTTCCAGCAGGACATCGCTCAACGCCTGCCCACGCACTTGAGCCAGGGATTGCCCACTCACCCGTGCTCGGACGCGCAGCAAATGGACCTAGCAGAGCTAACTGCAAGCATCATTATGCCACACGTCCCGCCGGAACAGGCCCTACAGATACAGCCTGGCCAGCCGCTCCGCCTAAACCTTCTGCACGGCCTCGCACAGGCCACGCAAGATCCAGATCATGCACTTCCCGATAAGGGGTCCCCACGGGGGCTTTCTCTCCGCTGCCGAGCAGCCAGCAATGGGTACAAGACGTGTCAGAACTGCACTTTGGAGAAGAACTTGAGTATGAACATCTCCTGCATTGCACAGGAAACTGGACCGCAGCGGCAGCTGACCCAGCACTGCTCCAGCAACTGGTAGACAAAGAAGTCGCTGCAGGATGGGTCAAGCGTTTCGACGGCTCACGCACAGACGCCGCAAAGCACTGGCCAAAAGGCACTGCCATAGGAAAGTTGAATATAGTGCACAGCGACGGAAAAGACCCGCGACTAGTCCTCGACAGCACAATCTGCGGACTGAACCCTGCCGTGCACTTGCCCGAAAGGGTAGCCCTGCCGACCTCTGCAGATGTGCAACGCAGTTTCCAAGCAGAAGACCCGCCGGGCAGCCTCACCGCATTGTCCTTGGATTTCCAAGCAGCGCACAAGTGCTGCCTTGTTGACCCCGCAGAGCAAGGCACGCTACTCTTCGAAGTAGCAGGCGTTCTATACCATTATACAGTATGCCATTTTGGCGCCCGGTTCAGCGCTTACTGGTGGCAACGCCTAGGTGCACTGATCCTGCGCATCCTGCACCGCCTGCTGCGCAGCCAACCGCACCGCGCCTGGCTCTACGTGGATGACTTGCTGGCCATGCTTCGCCGCACAGCAATAGAAGCAGGAACAGCACTGATCGTCGCTCTGCTGGCACGCCCCGGTCAGCTGGAAAAAATCGCAGTTGGGTGACACAGTCACCTGGTGTGGGTGGACATTTGATGTTTTCTGTGAAACTGTCACCCTGGCAGCGCCCAAGCTAGCAAAGCTCCGCCATGAGCTCCTTCAGCTAGCAAAGCAAAGCAAAGTTCGCCGCAAAGAGCTAGAGGCCACGCTAGGCCTACTGCAATGGGCAACCACGCTGAGCCCGCACCTCAGACCTTTCCTTGCACCGCTATACAAGGACCTGCACTCGTGTAAGGGTACCCTGCACAGCATTAACGCACGTAACTGGCAGAACTTCCTGGACAGCCTTGATGGGGACGCCCGCCTCACCAAAACCCCGCTGAACACCTGGCTTCCGCGCAAAGCCAAGCTCCTTGAAGTAGGAGGCCTAAAAATCCAGTCTAAGAAAGACGTGCCCCTCGTGCCCCCTTCACACAAGCCGCAGTGGATACGCCTAGCCGACCCAGCCAGGGGTGAAGTGCACTTGCGCGAGGACAGCCGCTTCGCACTGCATTGGCTACACAGATCTTTCGCATTCGAGCAATCACGCCCATTGCGGGCTCATGAGACGCTGCACTGCATGAGCGCAGCAGACGCAATGGGAGACGCAGACATAGTAGGCATTGGCGGCTGGGTAGCAACTAGCACCGGCTTCGCCTGGTTCAGCGAGACCTGGCACATGGACGAAGTTCGCAAGGTCTGGCCGCAGCTTACTCTCCCTGCGCAACGCTATATTGCGTGCTTCGAAACGCTAGCCCAGCTAGCGCTAGCGCACTGCACAACCCAAATATGCCACGCGCGCTCTGCACGTTTTTGGCTGCCATCAGCCTCTGACAACACAGCCGCGGAAAGCGGGATCAATCGCCTCTTTACCACCGCTGAGCCACTTAGCACTTTCATAAGACTGGTGGCCACCTGGGCACACACGCACCGCGTGTCACTATCTGTGGAGCACCTGCCCGGGGAAAAGAACGCATGGGCAGACAAGCTCAGCCGAGGAAAGATAGATTTCCTGCAGCACAGGGAAGGACGGGTCCGCTTCGACCTGCTTGGGTTAGCCTCCGCCCAGCATACAGTCTCGCTCTGCCCCGCCGAGGCAGCATGGGACACTAACCTTCAAGCCGCACAGCACGGCATTTTAGACAAGGCGCAATGAGCTGCAAAAAAGACCATGCTCGCCTGCATGCTAACTAAAGTTCAACAACATTTGGCAACGCCTTGCTAGTTTGGCACTAACATAGACCTGCTTCGATTGCCTCGCACAGCCAGGTACACCCGCCTCGCACTGACGCGGTGGGGGCAAGAAGCTAGACGCAGCATAGTGCGAAGCTCGGGCTAAAGTGGGGGTCTTCGAGCTCGCGGCTCTTTCTCTGACTCGAGGCCTCGCATGGCCCAGCACCGCGTGCTATGCTCAGCCCCTCGGCCAAAGCGCCGCTCCTCACCGAGCTACGCACTACTCGCGGAAAAAGTGTGCCTGCTCGTGCACAGCTTTTCACTGAGCATGCATCGAACAGGAAGCTGGGTTTTCGAACGTTAGCTGTTGGTTTTGTTGTCAGCTTTGTTTGAAACCAGAACTCTTGAGGTGCATGTATGATGCCCGGCCTCGCCCAGCTTCCCTTGCATGCTCGAGCCCATCGCTTGGGCCTAGCGATCGTAGAAACATGAAAAGACCCACCCACCCACCCGGGGGTCTTCGAGTTCGCGGCTCTTTCTCTGACTCGAGGCCTCGCATGGCCCAGCACCGCGTGCTATGCTCAGCCCCTCGGCCAAAGCGCCGCTCCTCACCGAGCTACGCACTACTCGCGGAAAAAGTGTGCCTGCTCGTGCACAGCTTTTCACTGAGCATGCATCGAACAGGAAGCTGGGTTTTCGAACGCAGAGAGTTCATAGCAGTGACGTGGCGCGGGGCTAAGCCAAGAACCCCATGTCTTGTTTCAGAGATGATTCATCGGGGCTAAGCCGAGAACCCCATGTTTTGTTTCGTTTTGGACATGATTCATGTGCTTTCACGCAAGTTTGCCCGGCTTAAACAAGCGGGGAAGTTGGAAGAAGGGCAGCCTTCCCCCCATGTGCAAACACCACGCATTAGGCCTCTTAAACTGCTGCCTAAATCCTCCACCAAAGGCCCAGCAGGTATTAAGCCTTTTAGACGTCTTAAACTGCTGCCCGAACGCTTCACAAAAGGCCCAGCGATCCTCCACAGAAGGCCCAGCAAGTATTACGCCTTTTAAACAGCTGCTTAAACCCTCCACAAAAGGCCCAGCAAGTATCAGGCCTTTTAAACTGCTGCCTAAACCCTCCGCAAAAGGCCCAGCAAGTATTACGCCTTTTAAACTGCTGCCCAAACCCTCCAAAAAAGGCCCAGCAAGTATCAGGCCTCTTAAACTGCTGCCTAAACCCTCCGCAGAAGCCCAGCAAGTATTACGCCTCTTAAATTGCTGCCCAGAGGCCCAGCAAGTATTAGGCCTCTTAAACTGCTGTCTAAACCCTCCACAGAGGGGGGGGGGCTTGGTTGCGGTTTCAGGGGGGAGCTTTAGGGGGGAGCTTTAGGGGGGGCTTTAAGGGGGCTTAAAAAAAGGGGCTTAAACGGGGGGCTTTAAGCCCCTTAAAACGGGGGGGCCTTAAAGGGGGGCTTTAAGGGGGCTTTAAAGGGGGGCTTAAAGGAGGGCTTAAAGGGGGTTTTAAAAGGGGGGCTTCAAGGGGGGCTTAAAGGGGGGCTTAAAGGGGGGCTTCAAGGGGGCTTCAAGGGGGCTTAAAGGGGGCTTTAAGGGGGGGCTTAAGGGGGGGGCTTAAGGGGGGCTTAAAGGGGGGGCTTAAGGGGGGGCTTAAGGGGGGGCTTAAGGGGGGGCTTAAGGGGCTGAGGCTAGGGGCTTGCTTTTCTTGCATGCGCAGCTCATCCTTTGTCACATGCTGTCATTTTTTGCAAGAAGCTTGTCGCCTATCGTGAGTTTGTCAGGCGGACCTTCTCATTGTCGGAAGATGGGTTCGTTTTGGAGTATCGAACCCAATTCCATACCAAGTTTTCCGTCGTCATTTGATTTGTTTTTGGTGGGCGACGAAAGATTGGGATTCCAACCAGCAAAACAATTTCACAATCAAGAACAAACTTAGCAGTCACAACCAGTTTGTAAGGCCAAAGTGTTCTCTTCATTGAAAAGCATGCTGGCGATTTCCTTTCGCATAATCTGAAGTTCCAGATCTTCGGGCTTGGCCTACCTGGCCAAATTCTTTATCCACCGCATCGAGTCTTCAACAAAACAAGGCCTTGAGAGTGTCTGGCATGTTCTGACCATGGCATTAAGCCCTGGAACCTGAACCGTAAATCGTACATCGTAAGCCCTAAGACATAAACCCTAAGCCCCAAACCCTGAACCCTAAACCCTAAACCCTAAACCCTCAACCCTAAACCCTAAACCCTAAACCCTAAACCCTAAATCCTAAACCCTAAACCCTGGTCCTCGACGATTTGGTTTAGGGTTTAGGGTCGAAGGTTTAGGGTTTAGAACTCTGGCCAACAGGGATGGTCTGGGAAGGGAATGGATTTGGTTCCGAATCTTCCAAGATCATGGCTTTAAGGGTTCGTGTTGCATGAGCATGGCTTGGCAAGCACGTCGAAGCAAAGGTGTGGGGTCGAATCAGTATCAACCAAACAGGGCGCAGAACAGAGACACTATGCAGGCTAGAAGAAAATACACCCTTCATGCCGTAAAGATTGAAAGCGCATTCCGCAAGCCAGCTCAATGTCAATGTGGTTTCTGCTGCCGCTGTTTGGGTTGCTGACCACGGTGGTGGGCGCCGGCCTGATCTGTGCCACCTCGAGCCTTGCAGAGGAGGCCCGCGGGAAGTGTAAGCATTGGTGCTCTTCTTGTTGGAGTTTGTAACACAGTTGTCTTTTTGTTGTGATTGCCGCTGTCATTGTCCACTTTCTTCTTCTGACATCAAGTGGCCAGGAGGCGTCTCTGCTCCGCGATAAAAACGAAGAGGAAAAGCAAGGGGGCCATGGCTGGCCAGTGGCGGCCACTGGAGTGCTCGCCACCTGGCTGCTCAGCATCCCCTTCCTTGGGGTGACGTGGGAGCTCCTGCTCCGCGCACTCCCCGGCCTCCTTCTGGGCATCTGGGTGGTGGTGCACTCCTACGGGATCATTCGGATGCCCGACAAGATCATGCTGTTTCCCGTGGCGCTCGTGTGGCTTTGGCTCGCAGCTCTGCCCTTCCTGCACAGCCTGGCCTGGTGGGCGCTGGTCCTCCAGGCGCCCAAAGTGGGGGGGCCTTCAGGGCTTTCAGGGTTTTCAAGTTTTCAGGGCTTGGGGTTATCGTGAATGCATGGAGAGGGTGGCGTCACTAGCAAGAGCAAGCCTGTGTCTCGCCGCTTCTGAGTGTCCAGGGATCATGGCTGTGCGCGATCATGCAACGAAATCACACACAAAGATCAGCATCAGCTTCTTAGACAATGACAGTAAGACCCAAGCTATGCAGAACTCGCGCGCATGGAATGTTGCCACTTTGTAAAGACAACTGCGCTGACTGTGGCTGCAATGACTGCTCCTCTTTCTAATGTTGATATTGACTCTTGCAAAACATGGAATGCGACTCCTGCTACCATTGTTGTTTGGCTATCGTTGCTGTGCATCTGTTGCTGTGCATCTGTTGCTGTCACGTTGCCATTACAGGAATCAGGCCACCAAGATATTCTAGTGACATTGCTTTAGCATTGCTTGCGTACCAGCTTGGGAGTTTCCCAACCAGGCCTTCTTCAAGATTCCTAGAACAAGGATTCTCGTGTTTTGGATATGTTCGAATACCCCTATGGTGGGCAATCCCACAAGAACTGGTCAAACAGCTTACAGCCAGACTACCCCTATGCACGGGCCCTGCATCCCTGAAACTAACTTCTCTACGGTTGGACGACAAGAGCAAGCAAATAGTTTCACAGTCTGGTGTCAAGCCAACGCTTCACGAACACTACATTAACAAACCATGAGCTTCACAAGCCCTAAGCCCTAAGCCCTAAGCCCTAAGCCCTAAGCCCTAAGCCCTGAGCCCTGAGCCCTGAGCCCTGAGCCCTGAGCCCTAAGCCCTAAGCCCTGAGTCCTAAGCCCTAAGCCCTAAGCCCCAAACCCCAAAGCCGATACCGTGGGAGGTCCCCGGCGCCCTGGCTGCCGCACATGGCTTTCGCCAGGCAGGCAAAGAGATCGTCCAGGAACCTGACGAGGCCTTTTGGGACGGGTTTAGGGTTTAGGGTTTAGGGTTTAGGGTTTAGGGTTTAGGGTTTAGGGTTTAGGGTTTAGGGTTTAGGGTTTAGGGTTTAGGGTTTAGGGTTCAGCAGCTCCGGATCGAGCAGATTTACGGCTCGGATATAACACCCACCCACCCAGAGAATCCCATAACATTAAGAAACCAAAAGTATCTTCATACAAAAGTTGGGGTGCCCACGTGCCTTGCCCACGATTTTTTGTGCCTTGCCCACGAATATTTGTGCCTTTGCCCACGAATTTTTGTGCCTTTGCCCACGAAACCCATTAGGGTTTATATATGTATAGAAAGAGAGGTTTAGGGTTTAGGGTTTAGGGTTAGGGTTTCAGGCGGTTGTTTAGGGGATGTTTCAATGGGACAAATGCTGGCGCCATGCACCAGGGGTACAGCTCTGTGGGTAATACATTGGCCTTCCAGCATGTGTGCTTCGGGTAGCTTCCACTTCGGCTAGTTATAGACTATTATGCAAACACACTATTACACAGATAGTTATTTTGAAACGGTATGCATATATATATATATATATATATACATATGAGGACCAGCTGCAAGGTATGAGACAGAAGTTCTTGTGAAAGTTGGCAGAAGACACTTTTCTGTTTGTAGTTAATTCTGTGCAAGTGTGTCGGTTTTCTCGGTTCTTCCGACTATCATCGTCGCAGAGTCACACTTCTTCGTGTCCTCATATATCTGCGTTGATTGGCTAACCATGCCCTCCTCAGCGCTGGTTTGCCACTGTCATCTCCACAGCACCTTCATTCGTCTTTACTTCGATTTGCATTCCCATGATGTGATATGTCCAGCTTTCAGTCTCCCTTGCTTCGGCTTGGGATGTTCCCCCTTTATACTAACAGCCCTTAAGAAATAGGGAATACCGTACTCCTGTTATAGCCCCCTACTAGGGACTGTTAGTATAAAAGGGGGAACAGCCCAAGCTACGGAAGTCACCCTTGGGCACCTCGAGGAGACTTGGCGTCAGCCAGCTCGGGCTCGCCAGAACCGGCAGGCAGGTCCAGCATGGAGAGAGCGGTGCGAATCGTATTAGGTGTTCCGCGAATCCGCTGTGCTTCTTTAGTGTTTGGGAACTCTGAGAGCTTTGTCAGCATTTGCTGTGACAGGATGCGCAGTACTGGCTCGTGGGTGCCATGGTCTCGACCTTTCTGTCGGGCCTTGCGGCTTTTCCGAGCCACTGGCCGGCAGCCCTCTTTGGCGTGCCCTTGCTTGGTGCGGTTACGGGCATGTCCGGTGCAGACTCTCCTGTGCGAACCGTGCCGCTGAGCCAGGTGTTGTGCAACTTTTCATTTTTTCAAGCACGGGCACAAGTGCAAGACCGTAAACACAGAGCTTACAAATTAAGTTCATCTTGGCGCAGAAACTCCGAATCACCCCCTTAATCCGAAACCCCATCATTGTCAGAGTCTCTGTTCTTCTCCATTCCAGCTAGTTCCTGCAGCTAGTTCGGTCTCGGGAACTTGGAGAAGCAATGGCAGCAGACATGCAAACTTGCAGTGAAGTGTTCTACTGCTGTTTGTGCATGTTGCTTGGTGTGAGCCCGGAATCTTTCCACACAAACATGGGGCTGGTGGGGGGTGGGGTGTGTGGCGCTCACGCTTAATCATTTCCTTCAGTAACTGGTTGCTGAGGCAAGAATGAATCTAAGGCTGTGGTCTGCAAACTGGGTGCTCTGGTAACGGATCATAAGAGACTCATCGCTGAAAAGTCGTTGGCAGATAAGATTGAACGTCGTCTTCCACGCGAGAGATTCATTCGAACTCTGGTGATTCTGTTGCACCAATCTCCACTGTAGGGCAATGTTCACCAGCACTCGCGGACAATAGCGTTATTTACTACTGGTGGATCTCGATGGGGATTTCGGGAATTTCATCTCTTGAAGGGATTTGAAGGGATGTGTGGTAGCGCACAGGGCGAAAATCCGAAAATCAGTTACCCGTCCGTTTTCGCAAAAAATCGAAAAATCGGAAACTCGAAAATGCGAGAAGCTCGAAGTTCTCGTTTTTGTTTTTTTTCGTGTCCGTGCGCAAAGCACAAGTTCGACAATTTTGTAATTATCGTTTTTTTTTCGTGTCCCCGCGCCAAGCACAAACATTGAGAATTCGAAACGTTCGCAATTTTCGCGTTGGCGCGCGCCAAGGGACAGCACGTAAATTCTGGAGCCGCGTTTCGCTGACACATTAGGCGGGTGAGAAGGGGACGAGGGCACCAACATATGCAAAAACCTGTCGGTTTGGTACAAGCCTTAATCGCCCCTAAAGCGGATCGCAAGGAATTCCATAGAGGCCATGAGAGGACTAGACGAACTCTTGGAGCCTGAGAGTTTGTCTCCAGATATGGTATGTGTCTGGTGTGTAGTAGTTTCTCTTGGTAGAGTGCATACAGTTTCTTCATAGTATCATGTACATATGGTGATATATGGTGTGCATGTATGTATATATATATATATGTATGTTTCTATATGTGTGCCAAGGGTCGAGGTCCTCGCCAGAGTGGCTGGCTTGGCCTTTCTCTCCGGGCTGCCGGTGCTGTGCGCCACAGGCTGCTGGTGGCTTTTCCTGCTTCTGGAGGTGAGAGCGGGCCCCAATTTTAATCGCTACGCGGCCCGCCTCGGCCGGGGCCTCCCGAGCAGCGAGGTGATGTTTCGACACATGTCTCTAGAACAGGATTAGGGATTCCCCCACGTTTTGAACCAGCAGCTGCAGAGGCGTGGCCCTTGGGTCAAGCCCAAATCCCCAAAAAAGTGGATTGGAGGGCGCGGCCTGCTTTGTGCCACCCATACACCTCCGGCCCAAAGCCTCGGCCTCTTCCTCTCGGCCTCGGCCTCGGCGGCTTTTTTTGGGGGGGGGTTCCTATCATCAGGCTTTCAGTTACGACAGGGAATGTTAGGGGTACCCCTATTTCGGGAAATACCTTCATTGTGGGAAGATGACCAGGGTTTTATTCAGGGCCCTACAGAGCACCAATATCTCAGGAGCTCATAGAATCAGAGGTTCTGACTCTTGGTTCAGCGCCTCAGGTTTTTCCCTTGGCATTAGCAGAGGTGGTCATCCAGAGCATGACGCAGGCCACGCTTTCGGCTCATGTGCCCAACACGCGAGCTGTCCTGATGACCTGAAGCCCGTCCTAGACCCTAAACCTTAAACTTCAGAACCCAATACTCTATACCCCAATTTTCCCCCCCCCCCTTCTTAAGTTCGGCAGGACAACCGAAGTCGAGACTCGGCTGGGACCACGGCCCTGATTTTCTGCTTCTGCCTGGTGCTGTTCGGGCTTCCGGTGTGGGCGTTGTCCGTCGCAGGGGGCTGGGCCGCATGGACCTGCTCTCACTGGCCAACTGTCTGCCAGACCTGGCCTTGGCCCCTACTGCGGCTTTTCTTCATGGTTTAGTAGGGTTTAGGGGTGCCTCCTACATCCACGTTTTTGGCCGCCCATGTTTCTTTTTTTTGTCAAGGGGAATGCCCTCTAGAAACGCGAGGCTGCTGCCGCTGGCGCTTGCCAGCATCTACGTGGCCACCGAGCTCATCCCGCTTCCGGGAAGGCCTTCCTTGACATCGCTGGACCTCGGAGCGAGGCTGTTGCTTTTGGTCATGGTCGGGGCAACCCCGGTGGTCTTGTACATCAACGTCGAGAGCTGCTTCTCCTGGGTGGTGATGCCCGATCTCAACCCGGAAGTCTACGCCGAGAGCATTTCCAACCACGGGGCACGGGGTGTGAAGTGGCTCAGCATGCCCGAGCCCCTGTGGCCCAATGCAACCGAGATGGAGCACTCAGGAGCCTCCCGAGCTGACTTTTGGCTCAGCTTCATGGCGTTGAAGTACTTCGGTGCCCTCCTGGTGTCGGTGCTGCTGCTGCGCATTGGATGGCCCTCCCAAGGAGGGTACAGATCCCTCTCACTCGAACCCGACGTGGAGGGCGCAGAGGCCCAAGAGTCGCAGGAGGCCCGTCTCCCAATACTGGGACCACTGGGATACCTATTTTTTTGGGGGGAGGGCTTTTGCAATACGCGTTGCGCTGACTGCTCCCCCGATTTTTTTGCAACTGAAACCCTGAACCCTAGATCCCCGATTGTTAGCCAGGTGTCGATGTCCTCAATGTCGGACCGCTCGCGCGATCTTCTCATGGTGGTGCTCGTGCCGTGCTGGCTCGCGGTGTGCACCAAGCTCACCCTCTCGGCGGCCCGAGGCTGGCGTCAGAGGGCTTGGGGGGGTTGGGGGTATCCCTAGACCCTAAGCCCTAAACCCTAAACCCCTATATTCAGGTTAGGGGTTTAGGGGTTAGGGTTTGCTACTGAAAGTGTCCTGTTCGGATGCGAAATCTAGCAGAGGCGGGCAGCTCAATGCAGACAGCGGCCTGGCGTGGGAGGGCTACGACCTCCTCTTCTCCTTGGGTCTCACCTTCTTTCTCCTACAGTCGCTGGTTCTGCGCGCGATGAGCCTGGCTTGCTACAGCCCGGATGATGTGGCCGTTGCTTCCATTAGCCACTTGTTCGGATAGTTTCGATTTATGGTCCTTGATGGTGCTGTTAGTGCGTTTGTAGTACCTTGATAGAACGAATTATCACTTAGTTTGCAAGGTCTGTTCCCATTCTTGGGAGATGCCTTCGACACGCTCAAAGATTCTATGTTGGCTTCAGTGGCGATTTACTCGAATGCCGAGTGGGTTCGTTGGCTAGGCGGGAAGGAAAGAGAGGAGAGAGCAAACCTTTAGAGTCTTTCAATGAAATGCTTTGAACCACCCCCCCCCTCCCATGAAGCCTCGTGTGAACCCCTTTTGCTTTTTACTCAACCGCAAAGAAACATACAGAGGTGAGCCTTCACGTGCAGGGCTCGGGGATCGATGAGGGGATCCATGACTCCTCAAGCCAATCGCATGCAACTGCCTCCCACCTTGCACCTCACACACATCTTTCTTTTCTGCAGCTTGTTTGGCTTCCTTCGACTGTCATGTGGAAAACCTTGCCTAAGCCTTGTCATGGCTTCCGAGCTTCTGACAGTAGTGGCAGGAGCAATACTTCCAGAGCAATTGTATGTCTGAGTTAAGCATAGCTCGAGATGAAGCCGCACAGCTCCTTGAGGATCTCGTGACAGCCTGCATGCTTCCCAAACTGCCGAGCCAGCACAGCTCGGCCCCACTTCGCTGCAGCGGACAAAAGCTCACAAGCTGCCTTTCATGTCGCGCGCAAGGGCACGAGCTGAGAGGCGCACCTCGCATCAGCACACTCGTTCAGTCGGCGCCGGAGTTCCGAATCCAAACCGGAAGGAAGCCTGCCAGCCCACCTTTATCCCATGAGATGGTACCCACGTTGCCACAGAGTCGGGATGCCAACGAAGAGAAACCTGAAACCAAAACTCTGGGTGAGGTGAGGTCTGTGCCAAGAAGCACGCCGGCTGCCACGCAAAAGTCGAGCAACCAACGCTTCGTAGTCCATATGTTGATCCTGAACCTGTCGTACTAAGAAATGACATCTTGCCCACCAGACTCTCATTTCTTGGTGGGCAATTGCTATTGCGGGCAATGCAAAAACCCCTTGTCCTGACACTTGCACACTAGCAAATAGCAGTTGCCCACCTAGAAATTTACAATTTGAGCACCAGATTGTCATATCTTGGTGGGCGATTGTTGATTTTCGTTGGGCAATTGTCAATTCCTGGTGGGCAATGCAAAAACCCTTTGCGCACCAATTTTTGCCATTTGCACATCAAAACATATGTCATTTCTTGGTGGCAATTGTCATTTTCTGGCATCGGGGTTAGGGCCCTGGGTTTGGGGCTGGGGTTTGGGGCATAGGGTTAGGAGCTCAGGGTGTAGGGTTTTGGGGCATCGGGAAAATTCTTTGCTTTTCCAGCGCTTGACAAGCTGCGTGACGAGTGGCTGCTTGGACTTGAGATGCTGAACCCTAAGCCCCTAAGCCCATAAGCCCCTAAGCCCCTAAACCCTAACCCCTAAACCCTAAACCTTAAACCCTAAACCCTAAACCCTAAACCCTAAACCTACACCCTAAACCCTAAACCCCAAACCGTAAACCCTAAACCCTAAAACCCCTAAAACCCTAAAACCCTCAAGCCCTAACCGCGAAAGCCCTGGAGGCTGCCTGGCCATGGTCTACCTCTGGGCGTTGCACCTCCTGGCCCTCCTCCCCGTGAAATCCCAGAGGCCGGGGCTGGGCGATTGTTGCAGTGCAGGTCCTTGTAGTTGCAATCTTACATATCGTATGTGTCGTGTGTAGATCAGAAATGTCTTATGTAAACTTATGTGCCTTGCATATCATTATGTGTCATATGTATTTTGCATGTCTTAAATGTCTTATATGTCTTATCTGTCTTATCTGTCTTATATATCTTATACATCTCATGTAGAACTACACAACAGAAGATCAGGCTGGAGCTGTCTCGGAGCTACCTGGCCCTCTTCTTCCTGAACCCGAAGCAGCAAGGAGTCGTCGCCAGCGGCCTGGGGCAGAAGATTCTGCGGATGCTCTACAAGCAAACACATCCGGGCAGGCAACTGGCCATAGCTGCGGAGGATGTGCCACAAGCAATCCTGGCCTCTGCCATTTCCTTTGAGGAGGGCCTGAAGCCCTTCACGCTTACGGTGAACTTGCTGATTCCGGCCGTTCGGCTGCTAGGCGCTTGGCGCTTCCACGACTCGATTGCCTGGGAAGTGCGGGGTTGGTTGCTGCAGGAGGCCCTGAAGGCCGCTGCTGCCGGGCGCGTGTCGCTGTGCGACGAGTACGCAAAGGCGCTGTGCCGATTGCAAGTCTGTGCTAAGCAGGACCTCTGGCAAGAATTGGGGCAGGAACAGCAAGCTGCGGCCAGGCGGTACGTCCAAAAGGAAGCAAAGCTGCAGAAGGTGCGCGGCCCTTTGCACGAGTGGGTGCGGCTTCAACTTGAGACGGAGGGCGAGGGCAGCGAGATGGACACGCTGCACCTGAATTTCACAGCATCGCCATTGATGAAGCTTGCTCATGGCTTCCCATCGCTGGCCGCACGCTGCCGCAACCGCTCGAAGGTGTTCCTTTCTTTGTGGGGCGCCAGCTTTGCGCAAGGCGGCCGCGAACTTTGTTCTCTTGGTGAGTTGAAGCGATGCCGGGAGCTCAAAGTCAGCCTCGAGCAGTGTGTTTTGGACGCACAAGGCCACGAGGCACTGTGCCAGGGCCTGGGCCGCCTGGAGCAGCTCGAGCAGCTCGACCTGGGCCTGTTGCAAAACAAGATCGGGCCCAAGGTCTGCAAGGCCTTGGGCCAGTCGCTCGGAGAATTGACAAAGCTGCGCCAGTTGGCGCTGGAATTGGCTAATAACGAGATTGGAGACGAGGGCTGTGGGGCCCTGGGCCTCGGTTTGGGTCAGCTGACCTGCCTCGACGTTCTTGTCCTGAAGTTGTCCGGCACCGGCATAGGCGGCACCGGCATAGGCGGCAGAACCGGGGAAAGCTGCGAAGGCTGCGAAGGCTGTGTCCAGCTGGGCGAGGGCCTTGGAATGCTCAGGAATCTCAGCACGCTGAGGCTCAATGTGAATTACAACAATATCGACGGCAGAGGGATGAGTGCGTTGGTCCGGAATCTGAACCGCCTGAGGAACTTGGCTGACTTGGACATGAGCCTGCGTGGCCTGGCAATCGGCTCGGAAGGCTTTGAGGCTTTGAGCCGTTCGATGGAGACCCTGACTCTGAGCAAGCTCCGGCTGGACACGACAAACAGCGACCTTGGTCCGGAAGAATGTCGGGCCTTGGGCCAGGGCCTTCAAGGCCTTGCGAGGCACCTCCGGGAGCTGGATCTCCAGGTTGCTGTTTGTGTAGGTGTGACCAAAGCCGAAGCCTCCGAAGCACCCGAAGCCCTTCGCCTCCATGCAGAGGGCTGCAGGGCCTTGGGCAGCGGCCTGGGTCAGCTCAGTGAGCTTACTGCTCTCAACCTGGGCATGAGCTTCAAGCAAGATGGAGAAAGCCGTCATCACTCGTTTGCCCTGGGGCAGATCGAAAGCGAGTGCTTTAAGGCTGCAAGCCACGGCGTCCAGAATCTCAGGAACTTGAGGAAGCTGATTCTCGACTTGCACGACTGTGACTTCGGTGCCGAGGCATGCGGGGCTTTGAGCCACACCCTGGTCCAGCTCCATCACCTCAGCGAGCTTGAGCTCTACTTGAAAGTCACGCTGAAGCCCGTCCTCGACTGGACGTCCAGCAGCGTCGCAGTGAAGCTTGATGCAGACTGCTGCAGTGCCTTGGGCAGCGGCTTGTGTCAGCTAAACCTCACCGTCCTCAAGCTGGCTGTGCACTTTGACGCGTTGACGCCGGACGTGCCGGAGCCGGGCGAGTTGAGTGACGAGCAGAGGGACAAGCTGCAACAGGAGATCCTAGCGTATCAGCTTCCACTACTTATTTTTTCTTAATGTCTTTTTGCTCTTCCGATTTTTCATACGGATCAGCTGCGACCATCAGCAGGAGCTCTTCAACAAACTCAGCTCAGAGAGCTTGGCTGCAGTGGGCAACTTGGCCCTGCTTCGTAGCATGGACCGGCTGAGCCCGGAGCTCAGCTCCCTCACCCTGCAGGTGGCAGGGCCGGATACCGAGGTATTAAAGGCCCTATGCCAGATGCTGGGCCAGCTGCGCGAGCTCCGAGACCTTTTCTTGGGCTTGTGGCAGCACGTGGCGGACCCTGAGGGATGGCAGGCCCTGAGTCGAACCTTGGGCGACTTGGCCAACCTCCAGAAGCTGAGCGCCGCGTTTGTGGGAGGAGGCAGGCAGGGCATACAATGCAAGGGGGACGAAATCTGCGAGGCCCTCTGTCTCCATCTGGCCCAGTGGCGCCTGGAAGTGCTCGAGCTCGACCTGAGCAGTTGCGACATTGGGGACGACGGCTGCAAAACTCTCGCTGCCCTGACCCAGCTACCCAACCTGAAGGACCTCCTGGGTCCTTGCATGTCATGATACTGAAATATCAAGAGGGATAGTGATGAAAGAGCTGGTGGTATAAAGAGTAGCCATAGTAGTGACAGTAGCAGTCATCCAAGTGGAGTCGTGATGCTCACGGCACTTATTTTCCACGAGTCTTTCAATGCACAGCATAGAGAACTCCACTACCTCCAAACAGGGCACGCTAGAGAACGAGCCCAAGCCCCCACCCCAACGTCAGACCCCAAGCCATCCCAAGCCAAGCTGTCAAGATGAGCATGAACCTGAAAGCCCGAGCCCGGAACCCCTGAATATAAGAAGGTCTCGCAGGGAAGTGTGGGTAACAAGACGCCTCCAAAGCTCAGATAGAAGAGGCACTGTCCAGCCGAAATGGTCTTAAACTCCAAGGCGCCCAAAACCAAAAAAACGGTGCAAAAAGGGAACAACCCTGCCCCCCCCCCCTCCACCCAAGCCCAAGAAAAAAACGACCCAGACAGTTTGTTTAAGACGAGCCTATAGGGGCAGATATATACGTATGTGTATATATGTATATATAGGTTCATATATATATATATATATATATATTCTGCAGTTTTTTGGATTACGTTTACTAGTGCTACTACTATTACTTATGGAAAAAATACAACGATTGTTCTGAAGTGTCAACCTGAGAGCTTCATCGCCAGGTAGGAGCAGTAGGATCACAGCAATAGCCACATGATAGTCACCGTGACCCCAAACCCATCGCAAGCCATGAGCCCTGAACCCCTTAACCCCCCAAAGCCTCTAAACCCTACGCCCCTAAGACCCCAAGAACCTAAACCCTAAACCCCAAACCCAAAACCCAAAACCCAAAACCCTAAACCCTTAACCCTAAACCCTAAACCCTAAACCCTTAACCCTAAACCCAAAACCCCAAACCCTAGTCTGAAGGAGCTTTCTTTGAACCTGACCGGGAACCATCGCATCAGCGCTGAGGGTGGCGGAGCCCAAGTCCTCCGCAGCAGCCTGGACCGGGGTTACCTCGAGGGGTTGGGGTTTGGGTTTAGGGTTTGGGGTTTAGGCTTTGGGGTTTAGGGTTTGGGGTTTCGGGTTTGGGGTTTCGGGTTTAGGGTTTGGGGTTTAGGCGTTTGGGTTTGGGGTTTAGGGTTTGGGCTTTGGGGTTTGTTTTTTAGGGTTTGGTGTTTAGGGTTTGGGGGCTAGGGTTTGGGGTTAGGGTTTGGGGTTTGGGGTGTAGGGTGTAGGGTGTGAGGGTTCTGTAGGGTGCATTTGGGGTTACAAGATGTATAGGGTGTGTATAGGCGTTTAAGGATCTCGGGTCTAGATGAGACCCCCCCAACCCAAAACCCAACTTCCAACCCGGAAAGGACAAAGCCCAGATCCTTCAAAGCCTACACTCATAACCCAAAACCCAAAACCCAAAACCCTAACCCTAAACCCTAAACCCTAAACCCGAAACACCCAGAAGCCTTGACTTTGCGAGGACCAGCTGAGCTTCCAGGCCAAGCTGCAACTGCCAAAGACCAGGCTCCTCGTCAGAGTTGTGGGTTTCGGGTTTTGTGTTTAGGGTCGT